ACGAAACAGTAAAACAAAGTGAAACAATATAATCTTGTCTTGAACTTTGGCAAACGAGAACCAAAATGCAATTTCAGACTTGATATAAGAAGAGTAGTTGAAAACATTACCAAGTTGTCTTAAAGTTTGAGAAAAGAACGAGAACCAGCTACATGGGAATATACACCTAAACCATTGCGATCAGACATTCGAGAAGCACGAGCCTTCTCGCTATTTTCTTTGGCTCTTGGTGTTGCCCAATACTCTTGCATAATTTTCCAATCGTCAGACAAAATCCAGTCTAGTTTTTTTCCTTCTTTCTTTGCATTGCTAATCATTCCTTTTGAGTCGATAAGCAGCAAGTTTGTTAAACTCTACTTCAACTTGATAATTGATAGAAGCATCCCAATTGAATCTTTTCTGAAAAACAGAGCATAAGAGACATCATGAATAATATAGGAAATAGTTATTTAGATACTTAGATGAAATATAACTGAAAGAATACCTTAAACAGAGAGAACCATGTTTGTTTATAGTAAGATGACACTTTTTTCCAAGAGGTCCATGGTCCTTTGAAACAACTTTGAATGACCTTTCTCACACCAGTTGATACTTCAGTGTGGTGCTTAAACCTATTCCATTGAAATAAAACAATCAATGAGTTATAAATCTGTGAAATAATTCAATGGTATTTAGGAAAAAAATCAATATGTACACTATCAGATTGTGCGATTCTCTGAAGCTAAATGAGCTACCATTTAGGAAATAAATCAATATAACCAATTAAAATCAATGGTATTTACTATTTATGAAATCAATATGTCATGACCAACGACAATCAATGAGTTACCATTTAGCTCCGGATCAATCAATGAGTTACTATCATATCTGTGAAAAAAATCAATCTGTGAAACAATCAATGAGTTACCATAAGCTCTGTTTCTCCGAGAAGGATGCAGCATGGGTAAGCTTGTACGATCTACATATGGCTCTTCCATATGTACACTATAAACACATGAAAATCAGACCTTAATCAATCTCAGATTCTACTAAGTGAAAGCTTACAACATTTAAATCAATTCTGACAATCAATTTCAGTAATCATCTACAATCAAATAAACAAAAACCAACGAGATCTAAATTTCCCTAAGACAAAAGATCTACCCGATTACAAACCCACAAGTAAACTTCAATTACGAACTCTAATAACAGCCCAGATTATTCCTTTTACAAGCTTCAATTACGAACTCCAATAACAGCAAACTTCAGTTACGAACTATCAAAAACAGCCCAGATTATTTCTTTTACAAGCATCAATTATGAATTACCAAAAACAGCCTAAATTAATTATTCTACAAGTTTCAATTACGAACTACCTTTTGAATGAGATCCCTGAAATCAATCGCTCTATTGAAGAGAAGTGGCGGAGCGGTTTTAAGAGGTGAAGAGAGATGGTTTTTTTTTTTGTGGAGCGAAGAGAGATGGTTAAGTAGTGCTATCGATCATGTTAGTAATTTGAGGCGCTTTCTTGAAAATTTTAGGCTCCATTGGAAAATTGGTAAAGCGCTTCTAATGAAAATTTTAAGGCTCTAGAAAATTCTAAGACGGTTGCTTACTTGCTTGTGTCCTTATCTTCTATATTATGACGCTTTAAATTAATGAAAATACAATGACATAAAAATAAGTCCTAACATTAACATGAAAGGATATTGCTTGAGATTCGAATCTTATATACGTTGACAAAATAATAGATTACAAGATATCTTTGACTTAATATATTTTCTTATTGGATTAAGATAGTGAACGAAAATTGCAAAAGTCCAAGCTAGATTACGACTAAAGGTTCTCGTTGAGTGAATTTGTTTCTTCTTCAACGTGTTCTGATTTTTTTTCATAGTAAAAAAGGTATGAAGCTATTGATCTAATGAGCGAATTATGATCTAGTCGAATGTCCAGATTCCAAAAATAAAATCATCTTATATTCTTTTCTCGAATATAATTGCAGGTTATGTCTTCAAGTAGCGATGTATATGCTACTAGACGGTGGATGTATGAGAGAATTGATCATACAACAAATCAAGTTTCAGAAGCATATGGTCAAGGGTTGGAAAATTTTATGGAATTTGCAAAAAAGCAACCTATATTCATCGAGAATATGAAAAATT